CCGAATACCAATTATATTGGTTACCGGATAGAGCCGAATATCAGATACCTCTGGTTAACGGGGAATGTGATGGTGTAGTGTCCGACACTTCCATTCCATTACGACGCCTGATTGAACTGATCATCTATCGGGAACAACGTATCTTAATGATACGGATGACCTTCTTACCTTGAATATTTTTTATTATATAACTTTCAATTTTTAGAGATTTACACTTAAATTGATTTCACTTGTATCGTAATGTTTTCCTTCAGTTATTTATTCATATTTGATATTCTTCTGCTATTATTCGTTCACTGGGCAATGTTTGCTCAGTCGAGGTTTGTTTTGTTTTACCTTGGCAGGTTCAGGATCTAAGTTAGGGACAAGAGGAAGGGTCGAGATGGCTTAGGATTCTAAAAGACTAGCGGTTGAATATAGTGTTTTTGCTATGTTATTAGGTGATTATGTTAGTGTTATGTAATATAATGGTTGTAATGTTTTTTTTTGGGAGTTTCATTAGAGCTTTGTACTGTAAATGGTAGACTTTTGATCCGTTTTCGGTTGTGACATGTCTCATCTTAAGTTTAGTAGGATGGGGTGTTACATTCATGGCCTCAAATAGTAGTCAAAACCAAGTATTAAAATCAATACGGTTTCATAAGTTTCAAAACCCAAATTAATTTCATCTCCCAAGTATCAATAACTTTTCCTTTTCAAGAATAAGGTAGTTTCTCATGAATCTTGCAAAATCATGAGTTTTACATTCCAACATACCACATTTAAGATTATATTTCACATCTATAACAAGATCAAAGAACCAAACATTAATTTTATCAAAAAGGACAACCCCCCCCCCCCCCAAAAAAAATCTCTCAAAATACCCTAAGTTGATCAAAATCCATAAATACGTAAAATACATCAAGAGGCATGTCTAGGAGACTAAAATATAACATTTTTGCATATATAAAAGTTTAGAAAGGTTAGCATAAACTTACAATACCAGGTTTTGAAGAAAACCCCAAACCAAGCAAAATGGTGAGAATAAGGAGTGAACCTTGAATCACTGGTTCCAAACCTTGAATGTTCCAAACCTTGAATCTTGAGGTTTGATGCTCTTAAATGTTCCTTTTTTTTGCTCTAAAATGCTTAAAATCGGACATGCTAGCTCCCAACCAACATAGACATATAGAGAGAGGGAAAGAGTTGACAAAATGGCCAAAACCCCTAAAAATTGTTTTAATTGCCCCTGTGACGACACCCGAAATCCAGCGTTGCGATGCTGGTGGCCCGCTATACCTCTCACACATACAGACCCTACACGTCCTGCACGACATGCCTCGCGGTTTAATCCATGCGGGGGGTCGCATTACCCATTGTTTCTTTGAGCCTCTCCAGTAAACCATACGACTTCGGTCACGACTTGAGGTCATGGGTCAAGTATGTTAGCTGTTGTTTGGCCCCTTCTTCTTGGTTTTTCTTGTAGGATTTCTTGCCATAAGTTTTTCTCGCGAAATGAACTTGAAAAAGGATAAATTAAATCCACAATCTAATTTAACAAACTATTTTTATAATTGATGATTTTGATGTTACAGTCACTGAGCCTTTTAACACATTATAATTCTCTAACCATTTAAGTCTTATAATTAGTGACCATTATTTTTTGTCAGTAACATTTCCAAGTTAGTGACCACAATTTTTGGTCACTAACCCTTCCAACTCATTACAGTTATCTAATTAATGACCATTATTAGTTTGTCACTAATAATACTAACTAAGTGGCTACCAATTTTTGCTTACTAAATATTCCAACCTATTTTTGTTCACTAACACATTCAATGTAGTGACAACCAGTTTTTGGTCACTAAACCCTTCCAACTCTATGATTAATAGATATCATTTAGAGGGTACCTCTTGTTGGCCACTAACAAATTCAATTTATTGACCATCATTTTTAGTCATTAGTCACTTTAATCTAATATTTTCTGTGACGATACACAAAGTCGTAAAAAAATTCTCTAAGAATTAGTGACCACATTTATTTTGTCACTAAAACTTGTATCAACGACCAAAATCTAATGACGACCTTTGTCATCCTTAAGGGTGTAAATGATACGAGACAATTCGCGAGTTATTCGAGATCGACTCGGTCAAAAATCAGTCAACACTCGACTCGAATAGGCTCGGCTCAAACTCGAACTCGACATATTATTAGTCTAGTCGAACTACCCAATACTCGACTCCAAAAACTCGTGAGATACTCGAATTTTTATATATAGTTAGTTTTAAAAATATAATCAGTTTTATAATATAATATGTATAATATAATGTAATAAAAGTGTCTTATATTTCTAAATATTTGAACGATATTGTGCATTTTTAATCATAAAAACTATATCAATATTTTTTTTTTTGTTAAAATCATAATTAAAAAAGACAAAAAAATTATAGAAGTGTTGATGAAGTTGTCCCACATTGGAAGAGAGATAATAAAAAAATGATGGAGAGTTATTATAAAAAGAGAGGGATGTAATGAAGTTTGTAACTTTGTCTTTTCTATGATGAAGTTTGAGATGCATCCCCTTAGTTTTTTAAAATTTAAAAGAACACCTATAAGTTTTATAATTTATAAAAAGAAGACCTTAAGATTTCATAAATTTTGATGGGTGAGCTTGATTTGAGTTCTAGTTCGAGTTTGATTTGAGTAGGAGTTCGAGTTTCAAACGAGTTCGAGTTTAAAAAATTGCAATCGAGTCGAGTTTAGTTTTTAACTACTAACGAGTTTTCGAGTCGAGTATACTGATATACTCAAGTTCGACTCGCATCATTTACGCCCTTAGTCATCCTTACTAGCATCACAGTTTGTTCTTGTAATACTGTAGCTTTTCATATAATGGCGTTTTCAATAAATTATAATAAAATAGTAATTTCTATTAACCATTAATGAACAAATTGATTTTGTTTAGTGGTTCAACCAAATAATGAACAAATAAATACGACTCCGTTAACATTCAAAAAGGTAACGAATGAACAAATAATTCTTCTCTATACAACTTGACAATAAAAGGAAAAGAGATTTTTTGGTTGGGAAATAAAACCCAATTAATGTATTTCATCTCTCTTTCAGAATTTAATTTTAATGATTTCTATTTTTCCTACAAATTATTATTAAGAAAATTTCTTTTAAATATTTATTTTCCGTATTATTGGAGATTCGTTTAAACAGGTAAATAAGAGCATCTCCAACAATATTTAAAATTTAAAGGAGCTAGTTAGTGATTTTCTTCTTTATTTTGATTCAACAAAATTATTCTTCAAGATTAGGAAAACAACATAAAATTATAAGGTTAAAATAATTCTCTAAAACTTAATCTATTATAATTAATAAAAATATGTTAAAGTTAAATATAATTATTTTAAAGATTTTTAGTTTTAGTTTTTTAAAAATTGTAAATGCAAGATGACTTAAAAGAGGGATAGATTAGATACCAAGTAGATTTATTACATACAATCAAGAATATATATATTCTTGAAGCCAAATACTTTAGAAACAAAAAGGAGACAAACAGAGAAAGAGCAGCAGGGCCATATAAATGTGCCTGCCCTCCATCTCCAACTCCATCTTTTATTAATGCTAAAAAGAAAATCCAAAACATATGCAAATCTCATCTCTCTTCATCATCCTCCATCTTCATCAACCAAAAGTTACTGAATCCTACAATTTCCACATCAACATCATCATATCAGTAAACTTCCATCTGTTTCCTGCAAACTTGTTAGCCAAAACCAAATACCTTACTATGATAAAATCAGGTTTATGGGATGCAAAATTTGTCAAAATGTTCTAATATGCTGTTTTAATAACACTTTTGTCGATAGGTATACCAAGGTATTACAATAGAATTTGTTTGGATGTTCTAACAGACGTTTTGATGTCCTATAAAACCGATTTTGTTGTAGCGTATTCAAGAACAACCTTGATTAATAAACATTTCTAATCCATTGGCAATGAGTGTACTTTTAGAGATTTAAACAATACCAATGCATCATCATGAATGCTTGTTTCGGTTATATGTTGAATGTGGAACGTGTGTGTGTGAATGTGTGTGTTCATGAGGGATAAATCATAATAGTAGGCATACTTGGAACAGTCGGTCTTGGGGCTGATCTTGTACGGAATATTGACACCACACTTGGCGGGAAGTCCAGCAGCGTTTGACTGGTTAATCCCAGGAAACGACGAATAAGCGTTCTTAAGGCAGCCACAGGCGATTTTCCGGTCACCCGTCGTTCTAGCAGCATTGTTAAGTGCCCTAACACCATTACAACAGCCTCCCAATGCCCCACCAGACCTCAGGTATGGCAGGCAAGGCAACAAGCTGCTGGCCACCTGACCACAAGTGATGGCTTCTGCATGGGGTGCCAAAACCACCATGCAAGCCACCACCACACAAGCCATCTTCATCAATATGCCTGCCATTGTTTCAAGTGTAGCTACTCAAGGGATATACTAATTAGAGATGCTTAGGATTTAGATGAATGGAAATGAATGGAGTCTATGGGGTTTATATAGAGCCAAGAGTGACACTTTTTGTGACCACCACCGTTTTTTTATTGCTAACACGAATAGAATATTGCTTTATGGAGAATACTAGAAAAAAAAAACATCGCAAATGGTACCAGAAAATTTGTTGCTCAAATATAAATGAGAGTAAATCATACATTCGTACGTTTCAATTTTTATTCAAAATTGTTTCTTATTTCATTGATTTTTCATTACTTTTTCTCAAAATATAAATGAAAGTAAATCATACAGCTTTACTTTTTTTCCCTTCAAAATATGAATGTCTAGATATTTGATCGTTTAAAAAATGAAAAGAAAATACAAATGGACTTTCATATTTTAAACGATCAAGTGTTCAGATATTTTGTTAGACAAATAAATTATTGCACTTACTGAAACCGATCAAATAAATATTTAAACTTAGTGAAACCGAACAAATAAATCCTTGAATTTATTGAAATCAAGAAAAAAGACAATCACATGATCGTAAGAAATTGTCGTGCTTGTCGTCAACTTTAAATTTGTAAATTAAATAATGGATAATATAGAGATGTTAGTTTATCGGTTTATTGTAATTTGCTACTGATATATTCATAAATAAGATAGAAATAATATACTTATAAGTGTAAAGATTTATTTTTTCAAAAAATGTTTAGAGACTTAATCATTACAATTATCATAATCTATTGGAGATTAAGAGGACGTTTGGTTCGTAGAATGAAATTCTATGGAATTAGAATTTATTAAATGAATTTGACTTTGAAAGAATGAAATGAAATCTGATAGAATTTGACCATGCCTTGTGATTGCGTTTGGTCGCATGGAATTGAAATGAAATTCTTAACGGAATTGGAATTTTTTTTGTTTGGTTCACGGAATTCAACTTTGGAATCGAAATTAAATATCAACAAATGACTTTTTATGAATTTTTTGTCATTTTTAAAAAAAATTAAAATTACTATTAAACCAAATTGTATTATTAACATCAGATAAAATTTGAAATTGTTCACTTATATTATTAATATCAGAAATTTGGATGAGGGCTACGGTATTCGTAGGAAAGGAATTTGAAATCCTTGGTACATCAAGTGGAATCGTGATATCGGTGACCGAATGAATTTGTAGGAATTGAAAGGATTCATTCACTTATAATCTGTGAACCAAACATCATATTTGGAATTTGGTCAAATGATTGGACATTCCAATTTTTTTCAATTCCACCAAATTTTTATGATCCAAACAGGCCCTAAGGGTTTTTTCAGTTTCAATAGGTTCAACAATTTAATTTGTTCGGTTCTCATAAGTCATAACAACAAAAATTTATTTGTTTCAAAAACATTAACCTAAAAACCTAATTAATCAATTGTAAATTAAAGAGATGCATGTGGGTGTGAAATCACTTAGCACAAGAATGAAGATGGGAGGATTGAGGTATGGGAATTGAGTGAGGAGTAGTTGGTGGTTGGGTCTTGAATATTTCATCCAACAATTTATTGCATATCGATCGATATTATTTCATTAGGGCCTACAACCAGCAGTTTTTAGTGCGAATAGATCTACCTTCGATCACATTTGCACTATTCAGAATAGATTTATCATTCATTTTGATGACGATATTTACCGTGTAAAATTCAACGGACTTCTTATAAAACGTTAAAGGGTAGTTTTTAACAAAGCAAACGACGACCATAATTGTAAGAGGACTGTTTTGTGGTTAAAAAACGCAGAAGCTAATCTTAGAAATCATTTATCAAGATTCTTAATTTGATGTAACTGAAATCTTTTTAGCAAATTTGTTGTGCTTCTATACCCTCGTGAAAAGCATGAAAAAGAGAGAGTGAAACTAGTTTTCGTATCTATGGTTTCTAGTTTTGAAATTTTGATTTTTGTTTTTATAGTCTGTAAATTTATTTTTATTTTTATCGTTGAGATTAAAACGTTATTTTTAAGTATAAAAAACTAAAATAGAAATGAATTTCAAACTATAGGGATGAAAAAACCAATAAATTTTAAATCATAAGAAAGAAAAAGGTAATGAATTATAAACCATAGAGATGAAATACGTAATTTCAAAACTATAAAGAAGAAAATATAAATTTTTAACAAACCAGACAGACTAAATATGTAATTAACTCAAAAATTAGCGTATCTATATCCTCTAACATTTAACAAACCACACGGACTGAAAATGAATTTTTTAACAGACCGAAGGCTGTTTTCATCTTTTCTCGATTTTAAAGAATTTGTTAAAGGAAAAAAAAAGAGAAAACTTCAAAATCTTAATTTTATTTTACTCTTTCTTTTTTGACGAAAAACAACTTTACTTTTAATTAATGTATCTCCTTCTACAAGTCTTAAATAGTATGTATTAACTAATTATAGATTTGAAAATACAGTTATTCATTTTTGAATCTGAACACGACAAATCAGTATTTATTTTAGAAGGAAAAAAACACATTATTTCTTCATTTCACATCACCCATCAACCTTTGTCCAACAAAATTAATTGAGAGGAAAAGGAACATAATGTTTTTTGTACTTTGTATTTGCATGATGTAAATTCATAATCTTTGCAATATAGGTTTTTTTTCTTAACAAAATTGGTTTATGATAATACTTATGTGATCTCCATTTACACAAGCCAACTTTTAACACTTTAACACTAGAATAAAGAATATCAATTTTTGTTAAGTTATTGTTTGTAAAAGTTCAATCAAGGTTATTAGACCTGCAACCTTTTTAGGGAAAGGTTCAACCAACATCAACAAAGAATTATGTTACCCAAACCATTAGAAATTCGAAATACCCACTACTAGAAAACAGAGTATCTGTAATGGTTATTAGCGACGGAAAAAATCCGTCACAAATCAGCGACGAATAGGTCAAAACCATTTTCCTCGCAGATCAACGACGGATTAGCGGGAGAACTGGTTTTTGGCTTATTCGTCGTTGATCCGTCGCTGATCAGCGAGGGATTAACCAAAAACCACTTCTCTTGCAGATCGCTCGCTGATAAGCAGGTGTCCGTCGCTAATCTACGAGGGATCTGCGAGAGATTATCCTATTTTTCATATTTTCTCATTTTTTATGTGTTATATATACACATGTTTATGTGTAGGTGTCATATGTATACGTGTATATGTGTTATATGTCTATATGTGTTTTGGTTGCTAACCGCGATAATTAGATCTATGTTTATTTTGTTGAAGATACATGTATCAGTTGATATATATATATATATATATATACACACACACACACTAGTTGTGTACCCGTGCAATATGGCGGGATGTAAAAGTTTCTTCAAAATTTATTTAACGTTGATATCTCAAATACTTTCAAGATGTGTGCTACCTGTGTATCTATGTTAGATTTCCATCGAAAAGAAATGGTGGTGTTGATAAAAACGAATAGTTTATGTGAAATAATTATAAAGACAAACACATTTGTTATTGTAATCATTTTCAGAATTAACTTCTTCACTTGCAAAAGTATGAAAAAATGTTCAACAGTTTCTCCAAAATGAAGAAAATATGAAATTTTTGAAATTTCGGTAACTCCACATAAATATAAAATTGTCATAAACAATAAAACAAAAACCATTGAATCAAGATTATAGAAAAAACAATATGCTCCAATAACAACGTTAATTATCATAGATTATTTTTACACAAGTAATAATTTTTTAAAGAGAAAAACACTAAAATTGATGCAATAACAATACACAATTTTCTCATTATGGTTGTAGCCGCAAACCCAGAAGCTGAAAATCCTACCCTTGGTAAACATATCTTAAGAAAAACTGTTAAGAAATAACATTCAATAGAGTTTGCAAAAGCATTAGCTATTTTCACGAAAAAAAAAGTTGTACTTTATGCATTTAAGGTTGTTTTTAAGACTTTTCTTACATCTGATTTTTAAGATAGTATAGATAATAAGTTTTTCAACCTATCTTTTTATTCATCATAATTGAAATATAATTAAATATTAATATAACAAAATTTCTAAGTTATGTCACTTTTGATGACAACTGTGGAGTTGTGTACCACGTAACTTAATTAGTAATGAAATTAGACATGATAATTAATGTCAATCGAACAAGGTGGCTTGAAGCAATATTATATCCTTAGAGAATATATATGAATATTCAAAATTTCTTGATGATTTGTTTGCTAAAAATATAAATTTATATTATATTATAAAACATTTGACAAAAACTTTTAAAAACTATTTTTTATTCATGAAGTACTGTATATTGATGCATATTACTTAAAATTCAAGATTACAAGTAAATTATACATAAGTATAACTGATTAAAGCTCCATGTATGAATTCGTGTAACTAACTGTGGATAAACATAATCAAATAGAGGATAAACATCTTATTTTAAAATAAAAAATAAAAAATATAATTAGAATAATTATCGAGTTCTAACAAAATAATTAATTATTATCTTTACAAAAAAATTATATTATTAAACCAAATATAAGTTACTTCGTTATTAAATCTAAATTAAATTATAATAAAAAATTGAATTAAAAAATTACACAAAAAATATGAATTTTAAATAGTTAATTTGATACTATTATCGATATATTTTGTCAAATTTTTATGATACTTTAAGTTTATATTTTATTCAAAAATAAAAACATTTCGCTTTTTCAAAATCACATAAGACCATACTATAACATCGATTGAGATAAAAAATAAAAAGAAATATTAAAATCAAGATGAGTTACTTGTGACAAGTATACACAAATATTCACATCCATCCAAATTTGTATAACACGAAAATACGTACCATCATATCCGATCCGGAAGTTAAACGAGAAACGTGTTCATCACAGATCGATCATTGAAAGTTTGCAGATACGAGCTTATCGGCGCACATATATCGGCTCTATAAAAAAAACACTTACTGGGCAAACCATGGCTGGGTGTTTTGCTTATTGCAACTGCTCCAAATGGCTAATTTGA